ATTGTAATGATTGCTATTTTAATTATTTCTGTTATCTCAACTATTTACATTTTGAAAAAAATCAGATTTGGTGCTCTGGTTGTCACAGGTGAATGATTTGAGTTTGAATATTTTAGACAGGAGTTGTAGCTCAGACCTAAGACCACATTTCAGAAATGTGAGAAAAGTAGAACAGCTGTTATTTTGTCTCTTTCTCCATAAAATAAGGTATTCTTATGCACTCACATTTCTTTATGTGTATCATTTGAAAAAAACATGTATAAATCAAAACCACAAGAAAAAACAAGTGCTGGCGAGGATGTGGAGAAAAAGGAACCCTTGTGCACTGTTGGTGAGAATGCAGACTGGTGCAGCCACTGTGGAAAACAGTACAGAGTTCCTAAAAAAAAAAAAAAAAAAAAAGATAGAATACCCTATGATCTGATAATCATACTACTGGGTATTCATTTCCAAAATACAAAAACACCAATTCAAAAGGATACATACAACCCTATGTTTATCGTAGCATTATTTGCAATAGTCAAACTATGGAAGCAGCCCAAGTGTCCATCAATAGATGAATGTTTAAAGAAGATATAGTATACACTCACGATGAATATTATTCAGTCATAAAAAATGAAATCTTGCCATTTGCAACACATAGATGGAGCTAGAAAGTATACTGCTAAGCAAAATAAATCAGTCGGAGAAAGACAAATACCATGTTTCGTTTACATATGGAATTTAAGAAAAGAAACAGACGACCAAAGAAAAAAAAAGAGAGACAAACCAAGAAACAGATCCTTCCTTCCTTCTTTCCTTTTTCCTTCCTTCCTCTCTTTTATTTTCAATTAGCCAACATATAGTACATCAAGGTCTTGATGTAGTGTTCAACAATTCATTAGTTGTTTATAACACTCAGTGCTCATGATATCATGTGCCCTCCTTAATACCCATCACCCGGCTACCTCATCTCCCACCCCCCTCCCTTCTGTAACCCTCAGTTGGGTTCTCAGAGTCCAGAGTCTCTCATGGTTTGTCTCTCTCTCTGATTTCTTCCTATTCAGTTTTCTCTCCCTTCCCCTATGGTCCTCTGCACCATTCCTTATATTCCTCATATGAATGAAACCATATGATAACAGTCTAAGAAAAAGACTCTTAACTAAAGACAACAAACTGATGGTTACTAGACGTCAGATTGGTGGGGGATGGGTGAAATAGGTGATGGAGATTAAAGAGTATACTTATCATGATGAAAAAAATTAAATTAAAAAAAACCCATTCCTTGGGTTTTCTCATTTTGAATCTCACAATGCTGTGAGATAGTACCTTATCAACAGGTAAGGTACTATCTCATTATACATGTGATACAACCATGTACAATAACTGACTATCCAGATTGTAAACGGCTTAACAATGGACATTAAACGTCTAGTATTTCCAGGGCGCCTGGGTGGCTCAGAGGGTTAAAGCCTCTGCCTTCGGCTCAGGTCATGATCTCAGGGTCCTGGGATCGAGCCCCACATGGAGCTCTCTGCTCAGCAGGGAGCCTGCTTCCCTCTCTCTCTCTCTCTGCCTGTCTCTCTGCCTACTTGTGATCTCTGTCTGTCAAATAAATAAATAAAAATCTTTAAAAAAAATCTAGTATTTCTTAGAATCAGCCCAAAGGGCACTACATTGACACAATATAAGCTTGCATAGAATTCTTCTGTGGAAGACAAAACATGTAATCCCCTAATAAATGTGTTTGGAAAGCATAGTAGATGCTCCTGTGAATGGTATGACTTCCGCCCCCTACTCAGGAGTCATTCTGTAAGAGTGAACTCTTCAGAGCTTCTCTGAAAATAGGACACAAAACTTCTGCTTGACTCCTTAAGATGCAACCCTGCAATAGAAGATCTTTCCTCTCCTAAAACTTAGTCATGATGCTAACAAGTCATAATTTCCCTTGGAAAGCTGACATAGGAGGATGTTGAGTAAACATGTAATCCTTGCAGCTAAGTTATTGTTATACACACATTCAAAAGTCTTGCTTTGATATTAGATTCATCTTTCCCTAAGAGCTATCTCCCATGTCCCTCTCTCTATGCCAGAAAATGTTTGGCAAACTCAGGAAACTGAACAAGGTCCTCACCACAGCAACATACACGTTCCATTCTTACTTATGGTCATACAGGTCTTTCAAGAAAAAAAGAAATTAAGAAGAATTGTTTTGTCATGTCAGTGTAGAAATACTCTCTTCATCAGTCCTGGCTCCTAAGATATATTATATAAAAAACTATTATATATTATAGAAATATATTTTAATATATTATGATATATAAATTATATAAAATATTATATTTATATATATTTATATATAAATTATATAAACTATTATATATTATATTTTTAAAAAGATGCAGAATTTGCATCTTTTCCATGTCTTTTTATTTGATTAGCAGTATCATTATTCATCTCAGACTTCTACCTTGTCTTTATATCTGTACATTATCCAGTCATTAAGATGGCACATTCTTCCTTGGTAGGATCTCTAAGTAAGGAGGAATCATAAACCATGAAGTTTGCAAAGGTATAATTTCAAAGATCTGATGATAATAATACAGATGTCGAATATACCACACAGCACAGAAAATTCTGAATACATAAGTATTGTATAACTTGTAAATCAATTCCAAATACTTAATTGCTTTTCCAATTTTATAATCGTTCCTTGATAATTATTTCTATTTCTATCATCTCCTGAATCCTGCTAGTAAGGGCTGATCTACTTAGCAGCACGTGTGATAGATAGTTGAAATCTTCACAAAATGAAGCTGAATTTCTCCATCTAACAAGGACTGGATAAACTGAGGAAGTTTCTCCTTCCTACTCCTGTTGTTACACAGTTGTCATCATGACAATGGGACAAGAAATACAAGGCAATCTGAGAAGGTTCTGCCATATCTTAGTTTAAGAAATACAATAGAAATGTTTTAGAACCAAATGTCATTTTAGTATTTATGACCTCAATGATGTGCTAGATCTCGAGGGGCTAATTCCTTTTCATTTATTAATTTTTTTATTTGTTTGTTGAATATGCACCTACATTGTGTCAGTCACTAGAGCAGGTATAGGGAATATAACCATAAATACTGATACGTAACTTTCCTGCTCCCCTGCAGCTCGTGGTCTAGTTATGGAAAAAGAGGTTAGTAAAATTATCCTTGTGATGCATGCTTAATTTTCTGAAATACAGGCAGTCAACACTAAGATAGGCACAATAAGTTCAGATGTAGTTTGGGACTCAGGAAAAACATCCATGAAGAAAAGGAAGTCTGAGAAAAAGCTTCCTATCTCACACTGCTCCTTCCTTTTCCTCCCCATAGCTACAAGCAAAAATATTGTAACCTGCAATTTTATTTCCCAGGTCTATGTGGGATCTATGTACTATTTTATTTCCCAGATCTATGCTTTCTTCTTCTGGGAATCAGGCTGTGATTCACATGTTTCTGCTTTCCCTGGTTACTACCCAAGGTATGACATCAACTCTAAACTAACAGCAGGCACTATGAGATCCCTCTCCCACCCAGCTCCTCCTGAGAGCCTGCCTCTCTGGGGCTAGTATGGGATGGGAAGAATTGGATACCTACAGAATCTGTCCTCTTCAGGTCACTGGTCAAACTGTTTGCTCTGTGTCGGTTGTCCTAAGTTTTGCTTCAGGTGGCACAGTTGCATGCTTATAGAAGATGAACATAATTTCCAAGGGCTGAGAAATAGTTTAAGCATACAAAACTTGCACCTGGCTACAATCTCCCTACAATCCCTGTAAGAGCAGTCATTCAACCTTTGCTTGAGTATTGTTAAGACAGGGATGGGACTTCCTTTTTTCAGGGAAGCCCATTCCACTGTTCAATTACACAGTTAGACAAAGCTTCCTTAATTTTAATTGAGACCTGTCGTTCTGATGCTTCAATTATCTTAATTTGCACCTTGAAGCCACACAAATCACGATGTATTTCTCTGTCCCTTCGTAGGATCTTTCCCTCTTCGGTCCACCCTCCCTCATCCTTTGTTTCTTTCCTTCCTTCCTATGTTTCATGCACTATATCAATGTTCTCTTCCACATGCCAGATATCTCCAGTTTTGTCTTTTATTTTTAATTTTTAAATTTTAAAAAAGCTTTTATTTTTTAAAGTAATTTCCACACCCAGTGTGCAGCTGGAACCTACAACTCTAAGGTCAGGAGTCACATGTTCTACCTACTAAGCCAGCCAGGTGCCCCTGCAGTTTTGCCTTTTCAAAATGGCTAAAATAGTACTTTCATTGTTTTGATCAAGTTTTTCTATACAATTGCCAAATGTTCTGTTTTTCATAAAGTTTCTTACCTATAACTACACGTACATGCACATACACATACACACAATATTCCTGAATATATAGTCCTATATATTATGAAATACAGACTATTCCAGAAGCTCTGCATCAAAATAGAACTTAGCAGAGCTATCAGTTTCCTCAGTCTGCACACTAGACACTCCTACTCACGCTCCCTTTGAATCATTTCCCCACTCATGTATTTTAACACCTTCCTAATACTTTCTCTTTTCTCTCCTCTTCTTTTCCTCACTTTTCTTCCTTGTTCCTCTCTCAACAGTTTATTAACTGCCTACAATTTACTAAGATATACCACATATGTGCTGTAGTTCCAAGGACCTTTAGTTCACATTAGCAACAGGTATTTCAAATTCCTAAAGTAATTATTATGAAGGTGGAAACACGTTTTGCAAGCAAGGAACTTTAGGTAATTTTGTTTCTCTGGCCGTCTATCAAACCACTAGAATAAGGAGAAGTCTAGGTACAAATTTGATTCAGAGAGAGGCTTTCACAAATATTTCATGTGTTAAAGAATCACAATGCCTTATGACTCTTGCAAATGCTCCCTTCTCCTAAACACAGCACTATAATCACCCACAGGGTACAAAGTAGTCTGAATAGAAGAGCACTTAGAGTCTCCCCCCGACCGCAGCCGCGCCGCCATCATGGACACGAGCCGTGTGCAGCCCATCAAGTTTGGCCAGGGTCACCAAAGTTCTGGGCAGGACCGGCTCGCAGGGACAGTGCACACAGGTGCGCGTGGAGTTCATGGACGACACGAGCCGCTCCATCATCCGCAACGTGAAAGGCCCCGTGCGCGAGGGCGACGTGCTCACCCTATTGGAGTCAGAGCGAGAAGCTCGGAGGTTACGCTGAACTTGGAGTTGGGTCCTGGATATCTGGGTCGGCTGCTTGCTCACAGGGATGATCTGCATATGTTAATAAATCATTTGTCTGGCTCTGAAAAAAAAAAAAAAAAAAAAAGAAGAGCACTTAGAAAATCAAAAGAACGGCACCTGGGTCCTCAGCTGGTTAAACGTCTGACTCTTGATTTGCATCTCCGCTCCTCTCTTTTTCTCCCCCACCTTTGCTTATTTGTCTTGTTTCTTCAATTCCACATGTGAGTGAAATCATATGGTATTTGTCTTTCTCTGACTTATTTTGCTTAGCATACACTCTCTAGCTCCATCTATGCTGTTGCAAATGGCAAGATTTCATTCTCTCTGATGGCTGAGTAATATTCCATTATATATACACACACAACCTTTTCTTTATCCACTGATCAAGCGATGGACACTTAGGATGCTTCCATAGTTTGGCTATTATAAATAATGCTGCTATGAACATAGGGGTGGTGCACGTATCCCTTTAAATTAGTGCTTTTGTTTTCTTTGGGTAAGTACCCAGTAGTGCAATAGTAAAAAAAGACAAAATATAAATAAAATAAAAGGTAAACCACCTACTAAGAGAAAATATTTCCAACACACATATCCAACAAGCGGCTCATAGAGATACATGAAGAACTTCTATAAATAAAAATGCAACAGCCCAGGGTGCCTGGGTGGCTCAGTTGGTTAAGCAACTGCCTTCGGCTCAGGTTATGATCCTGGAGTCCCAGGATCGAGTCCCACATCGGGCTCCCTGCTTGGCAGGGAGTCTGCTTCTCCCTCTGACCTCTCCCCTCTCATGCTGTCTCTCCCTCTCAAATAAATAAATAAATAATCGTTTTTAAAAAAAAAAGCAACAGCCCAATGGAAAATGTGCAAGAAAGAAGTTATCAAAAAGCTAATAGATTATTCATTATCTCCATTTTTATTTACATTTGTTTTTTCATTATCTAGTTTTTTATTTGATGTTATAATAAATCCTGTTCTTCTACTTAGAAAAATGTAATTTGGTTCCTTAGATTATATTTACTTTGGGGCAGTATTCATCATGTTTCTTTCTTTTTTTTTTAAAAGATTTTATTTTGCAAACGACCTATCAGATAAAGGGCTAGTGTCCAAAAAAATCTATAAAGAACTTAGCAAACTCAACACCCAAAGAACAAATAATCCAATCAAGAAATGGGCAGAAGACATGAACAGACATTTCTGCAAAGAAGACATCCAGATGGCCAACAGACACATGAAAAAGTGCTCCATATCACTCGGCATCAGGGAAACACGAATCAAAACCACAATGAGATATCACCTCACACCAGTCAGAATGGCTAAAATTAACAAGTCAGGAAATGACAGATGCTGGCGAGGATGCAGAGAAAGGGGAACCCTCCTACACTGTTGGTGGGAATACAAGCTGGTACAACCACTCTGGAAAACAGCATGGAGGTTCCTCAAAATGTTGAAAATAGAACTACCCTATGACCCAGCAATTGCACTGCTGGGTATTTACCTTAAAGATACAAACGTAGTGATCCGAAGGGGCACGTGCACCCGAATGTTTATAGCAGCAATGTCTACAATAGCCAAACTATGGAAAGAACCTAGATGTCCATCAACAGATGAATGGATAAAGAAGATGTGGTATATATACACAATGGAATACTATGCAGCCATCAAAAGAAATGAAATCTTGCCATTTGCGACGACGTGGATGGAACTAGAGGGTATCATGCTTAGCAAAATGAGTCAATCGGAGACAGACAACTATCATATGATCTCCCTGATATGAGGAAGTGGAGATGCAACATGGGGGGTTAAGGGGGTAGGAGAAGAATAAATGAAACAAGATGGGATTGGGAGGGAGACAAACCGTAAGTGACTCTTAATCTCACAAAACAAACTGAGGGTTGCTGGGGGGAGGGGGGTTGGGAGAAGGGGGGTGGGGTTATGGACATTGGGGAAGGTATGTGATATGGTGAGTGCTGTGAACTGTGTAAACCTGGCGATTCACAGACCTGTACTCCTGGGGATAAAAATATATTATATGTTTATAAAAAATTAAAAAATATGTATTTTGAAATAAAAAAAAAGATTTTATTTATTTATTTGACAGAGATCACAAGTAGGCAGAGAGGCAGGCAGAGACATAAAAAGGGGGAAGCAGGCTCCCCACCAAGCAGAGAGCCCAGAATTCTGGGATCATGACCGGAGCCGAAGGCAGAGGCTTTAACCCACTGAGCCACCTAGGTGCCCCTTCATCATGTTTCTTTCATATAACATGTTGCTCTCTTCCATTTTTTTTTTTTTTTTTGGCTATATTATAATTAGAGGCTGGCAAACATTTCAGTTTTTCCATATCATTATTTTTTATTTTTTAAAAAGATTTTATTTATTTGACAGCACAAGCAGGGGAAGCAGCAGACAGAGGGAGAAGCAGGCTCCCCACTGAGCAGGGAGCCTGATGTGGGGCTCAATCCCAGGACCCCAGGATCACGACCTGAGCTGAAGGCAGATCCTTAACCAACTGAGCCACCCAGACATTCCCAAGGTTTCATTTTCTTAGGGCTAATATTCCAGTGTTTACATATACAAAAATCAGAAATTACTTGGAGTATGGGTATGCGTAGACGGCCAAAGAAGTTCATTGAAATACTATGCAAACCACAAGATCACCTTACACCATGGTTCATTTTCTTTCTTTCTTTCTCCCCCACCCCCAGGTTCATTTTCTTTAAATTTCAAAGTTGTATTTTAAAATTATTTGCTTTGAAATACAGAAATGTAAATCTTAACTGAAAAAGTAAAATCAAGCAAAACATTGCTTGGTTTTGAGGAGAAGTGAAGCTCCAAATAAATTTAAATAGGGATGTCCAGGTGAGTAACAAATGCAGGCAAAACCTTAGGTAGAAGCAGGAGAGCTCTCCTTCACTGCCTGCATAGGAATCCCCATTTCTGAACCTAATTAAGGGGAACAGTTTAAGCTGGCCATTGGGCTACACAGTTACGGGTTTAAATGACGGTGCTCTACTGCCACCTTCTGGGAAAATAGGGTGTGTTACACGTCCCACAAGAGCTCATTATGTGTAAAATCAGGCTTTAGGCTGGACCTGTGTGGCAGGTGAAATAAATGTCTTACAGGTCATACTAGGATGTTTGTTTGTATTATAACTCACAAAAGATACCATGTTTTTTTAACATGTCATGTTCAAATGCTTCTAGAAGGGAGGCAGGAATATGGTTGAGACAATACAATGGAGGTAATAGTTAAGAATATAAAAATAACCCACTAAAACATGATGAAGACTTGCATTAAATAAATACTCATGGGTTTAATTTATACTTAGGATGAAATAAGAAATATATAAAAGTTGTATATTGAAATTGAGTTTAAGTGAGAAAAGAGAGACGATGACATTGACTTTAATTAAACCAAAACACATGGAGGAGTACACTTAGAAAAAAATAGGACTCAGATTAGCTCTACTGACTTTAAAGATTCTATGAGTCCATGAAATTACGATGTGTAGTACCTGATACTGAGTTCATGGGTACAGTCTGGTCATGTGAACATGTGAGTTTTAAGTATACAGACAATAGAGAAATTACAGGGGTGAGTGGGATCATCAAGCAGAGAAAGACGGGGAAAGAGAAGATTGCAATGACAGAAACCTGGGACAGATCAACATTTAGAGAATACAAACAAAAGGAAATGTGACAGAGGGAGTTCAAAATTTGAAAGAGCTGTGAGAGAGGGCGAGCGAGAGAGGGCGAGCGAGAGAGCAAGCTAGGGCAGTGGCTGCCAGAGCAAGGAAAGCTAGGGGGAAAGCATCTTTTATGTTAGCAGTGAAGGGACATGTGCAGCAGAGGTCAGCTTTTAGAGGTTGCACTGAAAGGAGGGAAAGCTTGTATTTTATAAACATGCTGCTTCCTTCCTTTCCTTCTTTGGAAATGTCTACTGTTGAATGAAAGAAAAATGTCATTATTAAAGTCCCCTTTTACTGTTGTGAATAGTACATTTAAGGAAATGCTTTATTACCCACTGAAAATTTTTGTATTATTACAGAACACGAGTCTTATCCTTTGGAAATTCTTTTTTTTTTTTTTTTTTTTTTAAGATTTATTAGTTTATTTTGGAGAGAGAGAGAGTGCATGCTTGGGCAGGGGGAGGGGCAGAGGCAGAGGGAGAAAAAGAATCCTCAAGGAGACTCCCCAAGGAGCACAGAGCCCCATTTGGGGCTTGATCTCAGGACTCTGAGAGCATGACTTGAGCCAAAATCAAGACTCCGTGACTTAACCAACTGAACCACCCAGGTGCCCCAGGAATTCTTTAAAACAGTAGGATAATGACTAATAAATACATTGACTAATGTACTTCTAGACTTTAGAAGGTATCAGAGGAAAATCTAAGAACAATGATAAAGATAAAACTGACTTCTACCTTCAAATAATAGGTAGTAAGAGTAACCAGATATACCTCCTACTTGAAAAGACAACAGAAAAATCAGGCAAAATATATAAAACATCAGGCACCGAAGGACGCCAATTCCAGAGAGATGAGAAATAAATATGGTGAGCTCTAGGACTGATCTTGGTTTCAGCATTGTGAGAGATGCTCAGAACAGGAAAGAAGAGTCCAGACAGAGCAAGTGGATTCCCCGAATTGAGAAGGTAGAGAGCTGAGAGGAGAGAGACCAATGTGGTATGTTCGCAGGACCACAGCATGAAAGAGCTGGACAGAAAGCTCAGCACATCACTGATTGGTGCTCGTGTGTGAGGAAACTACCCAAAGCCAAGAAAGAACCACCAAAGAGGATTAGAGGTAAGAGAGCCCAGATCTCATATAAGGCCGGTAATAGTGCCTATTCCTGTTAGCCACCCTAGAAAAACTTAGAATTCATGGAACGTTGAGTGGAGTACCCAAGAGGAGCTTGCCTCAGTAATGATCAACAGTTAGCCACTTAGTGAATACTGCTCTGGTCCCACCTAACCACTCTTAAAAGTAAGATCCCA